ATAAATAAATATAATGTTTAATAATAAAAACAGAGCGTCTACTAAAATATGAGTTGCCGTTAAAAATAACGTTTGAACAAATAAATAAAAAAATATGGCAGATTTAATCCATTTTGCTAAAGAAAATGTCTTTGCACACGTTAGGATACAAACCAGAACAGATAAGTGTATTTCGAGAATCGGGAGAATTATGCGTTCAAAAGCAATATTCGCCCTTTTTTCAGAAGTTACTACGTGACCGAGTGGTCAATGCACGTCCTCTAGAGGACGCAGGTTCGAATCTTGCCAGAGGGTGCATATTTTTCTAACAATAAATATTCCATATTCGAATATTCAAGCCGGTAGATGTTTAATAATAAAAACAAATCATCTACTCAACTATGAGTACCCATTTAAAATAACGTTTAAACAAATAAATAAATTAAGTATACATATATATATATTTATACACGTTTCACTAAATAATATAGACAAGTGTTGTCTATTTATTTTATGTAAAATTTTTTCGTATCTTCTGATAAGTTTGATAACATTATCATTAACCGAAAAAAGAAATTCACAATATTTATCCATTATTTTTTTAATATAATCTAAGCTTTCGGCTTACTCAAGCCATTATCAAAGATGTAATTACAAACATATCAAACAATATACGGACACGACAGTGATGATAGTCTGTCATTGTTTAGTTTACATAGTGGATCACTAAGCAACGATGAACACGCGCATATAAGACGCTAGAAGCGAAAATCGCACCGCATCTCATGACGTCACACATGACTACACGAGAGTGAATTGGAGAATGAAATAAGGAAAGCCGTTGGTATAAACCAATTATAGAAATTATAGACATTTAAGAATATTTGTAGAGATTCCATAGTGGATTTTGTTTAGGTTGGGTTTTAACTGTTTGATGTATAATGCTTCAAGTATTTTTAGTTTTTGTCTATTGTTTTCATGTCGAAGTATAGTTTCGACAAGTATTTTACGGAATTGTGTGTGCGGACAGGCATGTTGTTTTAAATGCCTAAAAATGTTAGAGTTTTCATTAAAATGTAGTGTCAAGCGTCGTGAAAGCGAGTTTGTGGTGTGACCAACATAAATATTATTTAATTCGTTGGAGATATATATAAAAGGATGGTTCGTGAATTTCGAATTGCGACAAGAACCATCTTTTCATAGGATTTAAAGTTGGTAATCGTTTTTGCTCGGTCTAGGCAATCTGGTCTTCGAGCACTTTACTAAGTAGGCAAGTATGTATTTAGACCTTTTTATTCTCTTTCTTTCAGTATGCTCAGTTTTATTCGTGACTGCATCTGGATAAGTGTCCGCATCTGGATAAGTTGTCCAACGTTTTTTGTTTTTATTTAATATATATATATATATATATATATATATATATATATATATAACCTGCCTACTTGTTTCGTAATTACTCATTTCGAGGTATCCACTCAAATATCTGACAATCATCTTAATTTTTCATTCTTGTCACTACTAATCTCTCTACGTATCTCTTTTTTGTATTAATCTGTTCCTTTTTTTTTTTCTCTTCATCTTTCTTCGTTTTTCTTACTCGTTTCGTTTTCCTCTTTTACTGTCTATTTTTAAGTCTTTCATCTTTTTATATACTTTGACAATATAGTTTTTGTTATTCTCTTTCTCTCTTCCTACTAATTTCATTCTTGCTTCGTCTGTTTTAACACTTTTTTGGCCTCTCATTGTATTGTCACCCATTCTCTTTCTCTTCCATTCCTAATATCTCTCGTCGTCGTTATTGATCTGAAAATATCGATTTGGGGCGTCTGACAAATCGGCCGTCATTTGCCTTCTTCCTCAGCTCCGCAGAACATTTTTTTGTTTAACACACTCGTACCACCTCAGTTTTCATGTGTTTCTTTGTTGGTCCTTCCCTAAACTAAAATAACCTTTTATTCCAGCTCTTTACCCATAAAGAACAATTTACTATTTTTTACTCTGATTTTTTTTTAAACTTCGCAATTTCATTGGTAATTTGTTTAGGCACGCTCTCCTGTGTATGGAGGAATGTTTTTCCTCTATTTTTTTGTTTCTTTCTTAAATCCGTTTTTTTTTTTTAAATAAATAAATAAAAATAACAAATCACTTTGAAGTTCTGCCTTCTTACTTCCTCTTGATGGACGAGTTATCTTCGCTTGATTAACGAGGCCACCAAACGTGGTTTGAAACCTCACGCCCCTGGTGGAATGGAAGACTTCTTTCAGCACACGCGCACACACACACACACACACACACACACACACACACACACACACACACACACACACTAACAAATAAAATAAAATAAACAAGAACGGATATATCATAAAGAGCTCTTCTAAGCAGAACAAACCATTCTTTTTCTGAAAGCTTTTTAAAGACTTTTCCATGAACCAGCCCTAAAATTATGTCAATTATATCGCCTTAGTTTAAGTATTCAAAATGGCCGCTATATAACTGATAAAAGCCTAGTATTTCCAACATAAGAATCGCTTTTAAATTTATTTCCTTCAATACCGTGAAGATTAATTAACTTTCCAAGTTTTGTTTAGAAAATTCAACTCCTTTGTGTTGTTGATTTTAAAGCAACGCTTCGACCTGTAGTCATATTAATGTCTAGTTTCTATCGACATTTTGTATCGCAAAAGACAGCCTCCTCACTCTCCATATGAATTATGCAAATGAAGAACACTAGATTTGATCAAACGAAACGTTGTGGGAACAACAGCATCAGCCCAAAGGTGGAGTTCCATTTTCTAAAACTGTAATGGATATTTGAATAGTTTCTTATTTTCTGGGGTTCCAGATTAAGAAATTGAATTTGCAGACAGTAGTCTATTTTGTCGCAAGGTAACTCATGACAAGAACTTCAGATGAAAACCTTTCGCAGACATTTGGCTAATCACGTGAGAACTCTGGATATAAAATCAGTAGAAATTGCCATTTTTTCCTTTCTTACACCAAAATATAAAACATCAAAGCTTTATAAAATTTAAGTTGATTTATGTTCTTTTCTTATTCTCCATTGCAGTCGACATGAATCTGGATTTGTTTCTATCTTAAATAACTGCAGAGAAACAACTTAAAGTAATATTGGCGGGCAAATTTGATCTTTTACATTGCACACCAGTCTTCTTAAAATGAAAAACAAAAGAACAGTTATATACAGGATAAATAAAATATTTCGACTTCTATGTAAATTGCTTATGTATACTTTTAACTAAGATCTTACTACTACTTTTTCGAATTTATGTTATCATCCTCTGAATTCTGACCAATAGAGCTGGAAATAGGACAATAACAGTGCAGTTTTAATAACGGCACTGGAACAAGGAATGCAATATTTATGCTCAAATGATATAAGAAAAGCAAAACAAATGCAAATGGATGCATTCCTATGTTTTATAGATTATGCAAAAGTGTTTGTGTCACAAAGAACTATTTGGAGCTTGATATATTTTGGAAGGATATTAAAATAATCCAAATTTATACTTGGAACTGTCTGCTTGCATACGGATAGAAAATGAATTCAGTAAATATTCCAAAATAGACAGAAGTTTAAGACAAGGGTGTGTCTTCTCGCCGGACTCATTCAACCATTACAGTGAGGAGATTATGGAAGAATTAGAAATCCTACCAGGATTTATTATTGGCAGCCACAATCTTAGATATGCAGATGGCACAATGATGATAGCATATGCAGAAAAGAAAGAGATAAGGGAAACGAGATGACAGGATGCAAGAAGACAGAATGTATAGTTAGCAACAAAAACGAGCAACGTAACATTCGAATTACAAATTGGAGATATCAAAATTAAGCAAGTACAACAGAAATATTTATTCAGGAAGTGTTCTAACAGATGATGAAAAATGCAAGCCCAAAAGTGTAAGGCGACTTCTCAAAGCTAAGCAAAATATTGAGAAACAGGAAAACTGTCATTTAATATCGATCCTCATTTATAAAAATCTTACTGATGAAGAAGTGACTTAAGGCAACAGAGATGTGGTTCTACAGAAGGATGTTGAGAATACCATGGACTGAACATGTGAGCAATGACGAAGTTTTAAGGAAAATGGAAACAAAAAGAAAACTTATACTTACCATCAGAAAGCGACCGTTTAAATTTCTAGGATACATAATGAAAAAAGAAGGCTTGGAAAATTTAACACTTACAGGACATGTTGAAGGCAAGAAGGACTGAGGAAAACAGCGATTAACCTACCTAAAGAGCTTCTTTAAATGGTTGGTAGAACAAGAATTTGGAGAGATCGCAAAAAAAAAAAGAAACATACTAAGAGCTAGGGGAAATTGTGGAGAGCCAGAATAACCCACGTCCCGAAGGGCCACGTTACAAAGAAGAAGAAGAAGTTTTTTGTTGTATTGATTGATGAGAAGACAAGACTTAATCTCTCAAACGTAAAATTATATTTGTTTTAACTCCGGATTTTGTGAGGGAGTGTGAGGCCTCTGGGCTTTCCCCAAACGTGCATTCTACATTCCTCTCAGAACGTGAGAGACTTTTTTCTTTTTCCTTCCTCACAGTTAGGTATAAATTTTATGCTTTTTTTCCACACATTCACATCCTCGACGCAGTTTGATCGACCACAAGTTTACATGTAGGCAGCCGAAACTGACATCGATTGTAGCGCCGAATCTTTTTGAGTGGCGTACGCGCTTCAAAGAAGAGCGAAAAGAGGCGCACTATAATACAAGAAGTGGTCAGCTCGAAACGCAAAGAACAGGGGCCAATGTGGGCAGAATGCGAACCTAGGTGCGGTCACCTTTATGATTAAGGGCGCGGTTGATAGCAGAATTGAATATGAACAGAGAAATTATGCGGCAGGTTCTGACGGGAAAATTCCTCAAGGAATGTGCCTCACTTGTTTTTGTTTTTTTTCTTCTAATAATATTTACCGTTTTTGACTTTTGAACAATGCAGAGATGTTTGACAGGTTCATTAGAGTGATAGAATATGGTGTTTTAATCCAAACTCGGAATCAAACAAGCAATGAAAATCCATTACTAAAAGGCATTCCGGAAAATGAATTTCAACAATGTTTACAGCAGTGGTAACATTTTTTCATGAAATGCATAGCTTCGTAAGGGGAATATAGAATATAGTTAAGATGACAGCGGACAATAATGACGTTTATAAGACGATTGGTGGGAGTGAAATTCCAGAACTCCTCTACTCAGAAATAATAGGTTGGTGCAAAAGTCATTGAGTGCCATCTTTTACACAATGTTAGGGAAATCTTAAAAGTGTATCTGATATTTATTCAGCTCTTTATTGTTTATGCAATCAACCTACTGCAGTGCGTCGTTTACAATCTTCAAGAAAACTTTACAATCCTTAAGAAAAAATGGTGTCGTAAATGGTGTCGTAACAACTTATAGATATTGAAGTTGTCTTTTTGCTCGACGGAGGAAAATTGGTATTTTTGGATAAAATATTGACTGACGGAATTAGCTAGTAGTCTAATTGTTGTCTGCCTAGCCTGTTGTGTGTTCAGTTTTTAAGAAATGCATGAATTATTTTTTTTATCCCAGAGCTAGCTATAGCTTAAATAGCAGTGTAAAGTAGACTCTTGGGATAGAAACTAGTTTGAAAAAAGGAAAAATGTATCCCAAACCGTAGAAGAGAGGGTGACACAATTGTTTGTTACGATAACCGAAAACAAAGTAAATTGCGGATGAATAAAGGATAAAATTCAACCAAAAAATTTTGAGGGGAATTTCTTTGTATTTACTGGAATTATGCCACAGCAACTTATTTTAAGGATATGTAGGTAATAAAATATCTTTCTATGAGGACAACCGATTATTGCTCTGAGTGACAAGAATAATCTTTCGTTGCAAATGCGGAAGGCATATGTAACATATTTTGTAAACCTTTCACCTTTACATTATCATTTGTCTTGCTCCATACAAGTTGTTTTGACTGATAACCGGTTCCAGCAAGTTCATCGAAGATTTCATCGAATCAAAACGGAAATTGTTCTTTTTAGCAGCTGATTTCTCCTCTGTCTTAGCACCAACACCTGAGTGGATGGGAGGAACTGGCTCATCACATTCGATGCATCGAAAACCAAACTGGAGACATTACATCATCGCCGATCAAGCACAGAACTTTCTCCCAACACGATGGACGGAAATTCCCTCAAGGAAGGCCGTGCCTTGAGCGCCTATTGGGGTTTAAATTCAACACAGAACTCAAGTGGAACTCATGCATAAAATCCAAAAGATTGCTAAAAAAATGGACGGTTCCCTCTACCGTTCTAATAAACGCTTCCTCCTGTTATTCTTTATATCTACAAGAGCCAGACCAGGCCGAAAATAGAGCACTATAGACAGATATGGTCAGGCGCTACCCAATCTTCACTTTCCAGTCTCAATAGAGACCAAAAGTGTCTTCGCGTCCTTGTGGGCGATGAATTCTTTTCCATCCTACAACCACACATGAAACGTCGCTAACCTCTCGCTGCTCTATAGCTATTTCTATGGAACGTGTTCCTTCGTTCTACAAGTTCTAAGCTTCACGTCTATGAGTCGCCATGCCAGACTTTTCTTTCGTCTTCCATTTGGTGAGACGTAACTGCTACTCGAGCAATCCTTTTCAACGAGACGCTGCCTTATGGAATCGATTCCCAAGAGGATGCTTCTCTGATCAGAACAATCTTAATCTGTTCAAGTCTTGGGTTAACCGTTATCTTCCCCACACATCTGCATAAACTGACTCTTATCTTGTGACCAAGATAACGTCGAGTTGATCTCGGGCCTTACAAGGCATAGAGATCAACTCGATGTAGCGAAAATGATCGTAAAAATACACAATTCAGCTGAAAGGTGAAAAAGGCAAGGAAAAATGAGTTGCTTATGTCATGTATTTAGATGAATAAAAGGCTTTTGCATCAACCTAGCGTACACACGCACATGCGTACACACAGATGCACACCGGGAGATTAACACTACCGTTTGTAACAATTTTTGTTTGCTCATTTGTTTTTTTTTTACTTCCAGTTATCAAAATAGGTTGTCCGTACTCAGTTATTGTGGCCTCATGCCAATACTAAACTCTGTTTTGTAAAAAGCCTCAATTTCCAGACAATATTTTCTCTCTTCTTCAATCAAATTTTCTTTATTTTTCACGTGCATCTCTTTTTCCTTCATTTTGTTCATCCCCGCTTCCTTCTGTTTTAATTCTTATTTTCTTCGTTTATGTCTTTACTGTTTTTACGCTTCTTCATTTTTTCTTTCTCTTTCTTTTTCACATGCGTCTTTCCTTCTTTTATTTTATTTTTCCATCTTTCCTTTCGTTTTTAATTATTATTTTCTTCGTTTATGCTTTCTTTAATTTCTTTTACACTTCTTCCTTTTCTTATTTCTTTTTCTTTTTCACATGCGTCTTTTCTTTCTCTTTCTTTTTCACATGCGTTTTTCCTTTCTTTATTTTATTCTTCTATCCTTCCTTCCGTTTTTAATTCTTATTTTCTTCGTTTATGTCTTCTTTACTTTCTTTTACACTTCGTTCTTTTTTTTTTTTTTCGCAATTCTTTCCTTCTTCCATTTTTCATTTCGATTGTTCGTCCGTTTCATTTTTCTGCCATTCTTTCATTTTCCTCACCTTCCCTTTCTTCCGACATTCATCATCGTTTGTGTTTCTCGCCTTACAACTATCAATCTACCCTCTTTACCCAGGGAGCCTAATCATTTCCTTTTTTTTGAGTTTTTTTTCGAGCGCTTACTTTCCCTGTGGGTGATGTCCCCTGCAGCTCGCACCTGTAGACGTCAGCATGATGGCGTCAAAAGACGGCACCGATTTTTATTAATCCCCTTTAAGCGTTTTTCATTTTCCTTTTCACTGTTTCGATTCCGCATTTTTTATTTTGTTTTTCAGTTCCACCTTTTACATTTGCCTTAATTTTACGTTTTGATTTATTTTGTCACAGCCTTGTTCATTTGTTGGCAGCAGAGTTTGGTGAGGAAAAGAGAAACGGAAAAGACCAGAATGTATAATGGAAATCTAGGAAGGAAAGGAAAGGAAGGAAGGGAGGAAGGCAAAAATGAAGTTGAAATGTTTTTGTTGTTATAATCCAAATTTATAAAAGAGGAACTCTTCTGCGTAAGCCTCTTTCTGGTTAATGTAAATTTCCTTTATACTAAGAGTTTGTTTTTTTTTTCCATGTCGACAATATATATATATATATATATATATATATATATATATATATATATATATATATATATATATATTAAACCTAGAAACCAGACAAACCTACAGGTTTTCACCCAGCGGATCGTCAGAGAAGGCTGCCTTCCTGACGATCCGCTAAGGTGAAACTCTGGTAGGTTTGTCTGGCTTCTAGGTTTAACTATATATATATATATATATATATATATATATATATATATATATATATATATATATGTATGTATGTCTGCTCTACTTATTGTATCGAGCACTTTATTTAGTTATTTTATCGGGGTTTTTTTCTTTGGGCTTTGGACTTGCATGCTAGACGATTATTTTCGGCTAACGTACATGTTCTTGGTTCTTTCTTTTTTTTATACCTTTTCTTCCCTTTGGTATTGGTTTGATTATTTGCAAATCAAGACACCGAAAGTTTTCCGAACGAGTATAGTTTCTTATACTCATAAGATTACTACTACTACAACTACTACTACTACTACTACTACTACTACTACTACTAATAATAATAATAATAATATATATATATATATATATATATATATATATATATATATATATATATAGTGATGACAACGATATTCTTTGTATATTTTTATGTTTTTTTTATTTAGTTGACATGTGGGGTCACAATAAAATTTTGGGGAAATCACAAAATTTTCAGCTACTTCAGCATCCTCCGTCATTTTTCAAGTGGGCCAAATTTTTAATCCAGCGAATGTTAATGACCTCAGTGAAAGAATCACCAATTCTTTGTTCGTGCCACCTGGTAAAATCTTTTATTGTATCTTCGCACATTCTTTTCTTCCTGTAGGAATCTGTCTCTCACTCCAGTCTGATGATGCCCTCTATAAGGAGGGGAGCTGAGAAGCTGAAATACCTCTTCCACTTTTTCTTATTAATAGGAGAGCATATTCGAGAATATAAGTTGAAGAACATTAAATAATAATAATAACAATAATAATAATAATATTAATAATAATAATAATAATAACAATGGCTGTGATAATAATAACAGATAATAAAATGTAACACGCAATAAACGGAGATATTATCTTTTGCTACAAAGTAATAATAATAATAATAATCGTGTGGATCCAAAATGCAGGTTCTGTGACAAATATCAGGAAAACATTGATCATCTAATCTCAGGATGTCCTTTATTGATATGTATTGCTTCAAGTGAAACAGTTGCGGCACAAGGCCTAAAATGATTTCATAAGTGTAGCTTAGATGTGGCACAAGGCCGAAAGTGTGGAGCACCCATTGATGATTGAACACACTACTCAACTGTAGGTAAATTTCTATTTTAACACCCGCGCTAAATATCCCTTACAATTTTCCCAAATCGTCATAATTCCGTGCAAATGTACATGCTGAACTCAAATTAACAAGTAAATTATAAAGAAACCTACCGTTTTGGAGTTAATGACAAGAAAAAATCGGACATCTTGTTGGTCATTCGTCCCCCATTACTGCCATTGTGTTTAGTAATACGGTGCTGGGTACTTCCGGTGGCCTTTGACCTATTTACTTCTTTTACAGACTTTCCTTGCGGAAAATCAATACGTACTACCGTAAAGAAATGTAATTTTTTTTTTTTGGTAAGTGTAGTTTTATTTATAACAAAAACAAATTAAATAATGCAATAGAATCTTTTTTTCCGTTTCAAATAGCAATGAAAAATTAAAAGAACAAATTAAATAATAAAAATAAAGCATTTTTTTATATTGTAAAATTGAAAAAAAAATTAATGCACAAACTTAGTAAATTATTTAATGTTTTTTATTTTTTAATTTGTCCCCTTTTCTACACAGAAAGAAAACCTCACCCTTAACACCTAACTCTAAAGTTAACCCGGTATATTGTATTATTTGATATTTTTTTTTAATTTGTCTCCTTTTCTACACAGATTAAAAAAATTAAATAATACAATCCACCCAAGTTTGTGCATTAATTTTTGTTTTATTTTCAATTTTGAAATATAAAAAATGCTTTATTTTCATTATTTAATTTGTTCTTTTAATTTTTCATTGCTATTCTACACAGAAAAAAAGGTTTTATTGTATTATTTAATTTGTTTTTGTCTAAAATTTTCTGTTATAAATAAGACTACACTTATCAAAAGGAAGAAAAAAAATACGAAAAATGCGTAGTGATTTCAAAAAGAGATATAGCTGTAAAAGAAGTAAATAGGCCACAATTTCTGATTACGCCAGATGGAGTACCCCGCACCGTATTACTAAACACTATGGCAGTAATGTAGGACGAATGACCAAAAAGAAGTCCGGGTTTTTTTGCCGATAACTACAAAACGGTAGGTTTCTTCATAATTTACTTGTTACTTCGAGTTCAGCATGTACATTTGAACGGAATTATGCCGATTTTGGAAAATTGTAAGGAATATTTAGCGCGGGTGTTAAAATAGAAATTTACCCAACTGTAATTGATCCAGCGAGACAAGATTGCTAAACATTACACCACATCAAAGTGCCTCAGGATGTTCTATACTTGCACCAAATGAATATAAAAATTGTCACGATAGAGTAGTGAAATATTTACACAGGACAATGTGAAAACCGAAAAGAAAATAATTGCCTACTAATAAGGAATTTGAAAAAGTATCGGCTATTTTTTTTCAACTTTTCGCATCAGCTAACAGTATCAGAGTGTTTTGGTGATACGGTCTTTGCTCATTTCTTATATATCATTGAATATTTACCCACTCATGAAACTAAGTATATATTATTTTTTTTTTTAGATTTTGTATTGCATGAAACAATAAAATCATTGTTTAGAAGCATTAATGATTATTTTATTACCTGTTTTAAGCGTTGTTCTACTGCTGATAACTCAGCAATATATTTGTGGAATGATCTGGCAATAATTTTTTAGGGGCGGTTTCTGTCATTCGGCTGTTCTGTGGTCCGGCAGTGACCTGGTCCCAAGGTTGCGGATTAAAGGGGTCTAAATATATAACAATATTTTTGTGTATTATGAATAGAACCTTTCCTGTTATCTCACTAACACATTATTATTATTATTATTATTATTATTATTATTATTGGTTGAGTGTTCTCACGTATAGTGCCTGGCGATCAAATGGCTGTAAATCGGCTCATTTCTCCAGCACTCTTCAGCGTTATCCTCGGTGATTTCAGTAAATCTGTCGCTTTCAATGATCCCGATATGTCCACCCAGTCACACCAGTCCCCTATGCGCTGTGTCTGTTCAGGATGTGAGCGATGATGGCTTTCCACAACTTACAATCTTTTGTAACTCGAAGCAATTTGTCGCTTTACTATCTTTCCCACTCTGTTCTGTCAAACATTTATTAAAACTCGTTAGATAGTTTATTCGCTGTTTCTCTCTGACTTTCTTGCATTCATTATGTTCTGCGTGTGTTAAATTCACCAAGCCTTCCTTCTAAACCATGCCTTTATCTACTGTCCTTGAGAATACATGGCCCAGTGGAGAAACGCTTTGGATGAAGGCGTTGGTTAGATCTAGTGACAAGACCCAAAGAGTTGTGAGTTCAATACCAGGCTACTGCAGTGATGAACCAAATCAACTTGGAGAGTTGAGTTAAAGAAAAATAACTGAGACGTCCGGAGGCAAGGCACGTGGAACGAGAACAATTTACCTAGGTGGACGAAATAAAGAGTTCGGTTTGAAATTCCAATCAGCTGAAGAAGCGTACAACTGCCGAAACGTTGTGAATATGTGTTGTAGTGTAGTTTTCACAGTGAAAGCTTGTATTTCAATAAGTCGTCCTAAATTAGGTTCGACGTACAAAACGTTAGGAACTTGAAATAAGAGTTAATGACGCAGCAATCTAGTTGTGATGGTTGGTACTTCAATGTCCGATATCGACTGACTCACTCAACACCACTGAGCTCAACTGGCGACCGCTACTACTACTACTTATTATGTGTGGGAGAGTCTATTAATAATAGAATAGGTACGTCAGGTATAACAATATGACAATGAAGATGAGGATTACAGAAATGGTATATAAAGGCGTTGGTTAGGGAATAGACCCAAAGAATTGTGAGTTCAATACGAGGCTACAGCGGTGGTGAACCAAAAAAACTTAGAAAGTTGAGTAAAGGGAAATAAGTGAGACATCCGGAAGAGGCATGACACGTGGAAATAGAACCGTCTATCCCGGTGAAAAAAAAATAAAGAGTTCGGTTCGAAATTCCAATCACCTGATTGAAGGCCAGAGCGTACAACGGCCGAAACGTTGTGAATATTGCAATGAAGATGAGT